CAGGGGCCTCTGCAGAGCACTGGTGACTGAGTCCAGGAGATGTGGATTGAGCCGGGCTTGGTTCCTAACGACCAGAGTGAGGTAGTTATGGCGGTGATTTGCCTAAATGATCCCAGTGTCCATTACAATTAGGAAGAACATTTTTCCCAGATGAAGTTATGCTGCTTCATAGAAGCTGTTTCTGGAAGAGCTTGTGCCACATGAGGAAATAAGAGAAATCTGGAATCAAGCTCATGGTTTAGGCTGTCAAAGGATTCAGAACTAGAGATGTGGATTACTGAGCTTAGCTCCCCTCTACACCTACTTTTAAGAAAGAATCAAAAACCCATCAGATTAATTTTTGCCAAGCCTTCTATCACTGGAAATCTGGGGAAGGCGATGAGATTCCAGCAAAGGATGAATGTTCAGCCAAATGATGTTTAAAATCCCTTCCAGTTCTGAGATTTTTGTGATTCTCTATTTTGGAGGAAGGTAATCTTCGAACTTTTTACTCATAGCTTAAATGCCATCTCTTGTTTCAACTCAGTGATTTATTCACTTCCTCTACTATTCCTTAAAGCAATACTATTTAATTCAAGTTTTATAAGAAAACAGTTAATTTGTCAGCTAGGTACAGTTCCGGTCTGTGTTGATGGGGAGTGTTGGTGAGTGCAACAGAGAGATAATGAAACATCATTTAGAAAACAAAAGATGACTCTTCTCTTTCTGAATGTGTGAAGCTTCTGCTTTGATGACCATAGAATCTCTCAACATGGTTTCCACATCCATGGCTCTAAACCTGCCAAGTGATAAACTCAGTGCTCAGAATAGAAGAAAGGACAGTAACTTGACCTGGTTCAGGAGATCAACATTAGCACTAGAATAATCAACATGGGGCAAAAGGGATTTTAGAAAAGATGCTCCAAGTGGACTTAGAGCAGCCAGCTAGAGAGTGATGTTCAGGACATCCAACCCAGTAGTTGAAAGAGCAATGTAGGGATTGTAGGGAAACTGAGGCTCTAGATCTAGCTCTGCCACTGACTCACTGTGAAACCTTGGGCAAAGCAACTGACATCTCTGAGTCTTGATTTCTTCATCTATAAAACAAGGTTATTGTTTTTTAAGTTACCTAATATTTACATAGAGCTTTCTATGTCCCAGGAGCCAAGGTGAAAATTTTATAAGGCTGTTGTTTGATTCTCCAAAACTCTTGGGCCTTGGAGAGAGAACACCCGAAGCAGCTTCTGCCTCTACCCCTGGCCTCCCCTCTCCTCACTGGACTGACACAGCTGCCCGACACTACCCTTTCCCCCTGTGAGCCAAGCAACTCAAGAAAGAAATCTCCATGCAAGGATTGACATTGTTTAGCCTGGAGAAAAAGCATTTGAGAAATGACTTAGTAATTTTATTTCATCAGATCTATTTCTGGAGCTGGTGGAGACAAAGTGATTGTAAAATCTGAAAAGACCGAGGGAATATGTGGCCTGCCTGGCCTCAGGCCAGAAGGAGCTACAGTAAATGATGAATTGAATATAACGCATGAGGTCTAGAGCCCAGAAGGAACGAGAGATGGGGATCACGTTACCTTTCAACTGGAGCTTTGGAGGCAGGACTCACTTTTAGTTCAGCCCCCTACAGTCCAGTCCTATAGGATAATGAGGAGGGTTTTTTGGGGGCAGGGGAAGGCAGTAACAATTTAGTGTCTCCTTCGCATTAAGAAAAAAGCTCATGGTGGAAATTTGATTAAGGGATAAAGGGTAGCCTTACTAATAACCTATCTAACAGAGAAAAATAAAGTATCAAGCAGAAAGCAAGAGAAATAAACTCACAGCACATACTTGCCCCTCTGAAGAAAAACCCACAACACAAAGAAAAAGTCACAACACAACTGCCCTTTGATTTGTTTGATTAAATATCTGGGACTTAACTCATTATCTCTAAGAGTTCGTTTTCACAGCCTTGCAGAGCCCTAAGCAGACAGTAGGTATGCAAACTTCCTGCTCCTGCTCTTGCCAGGACTCCGATAAACCCAGCCTCGCAGAGAAAAGAAGAAGAAAAAGGGAAACACAAACTCAGCTGCTCCACAGCCACTTCTGTTATCAGCCTGCACCAAGGGGGGAAAAATGTTTTTTTACGCTTTAAAATACCAAGCTGCTTTTGTGTGCTGTGGCCTCTCCCTCCTCTCTTTCTCTTTCTTTCTCCCTTCTCTCTTTCCTTTCTCTCTCTCTCTCTCTCTCTCTTTCCTTCCCTTCTCTCTCCCTCTCTATCTTTCCGAGAAAGCAAAAACACTTGTAAACTTTTTACATCTTTATATCCTAATCTTTATGTGAGAACTCTTTCTCAGCCTGTGTACAAATTCACACCCTAACAGGGAAGATATGAAATGCTAAGTCAATTGATGAGCTGTTGTGTACAAAACTTTGTTGCTGAATCTTTTAATTTTATTTCCACGGTGGTAGTCAAGGCAGGGACTTGACTGGTCTAGGAGTCAGGAAACCTGGTTTGATCCTCTCCCTATCTAGCTAACTTCAACCTTTTCATTTTTAAAATGCTGATAACAATCTCTGTTCTACTTTTCCCATGAGGTTGTTGGGAGAATCAAACCAGCTTATACATATTGGCAGTGTTTTTGGAAACTGTCAAATAGTAATCAGATATAAGACATGTGTTAGAAAAACAGTTTATCTGTCAAAAATGATAAGCTTACTGTTAGAACCAATTCATATTTTAGGAAAGGTTCATAATTCAAACAATCATTCATAATGATGTGCATGGATAGAAATACAGGAAGGAGCAGGGAGAACCAAATGGCTGTTGTGTGGTGAATCATCTTTCTTTTTTTCGGTAATAAAGAAGAAGACCCCAAGTTTATAATATCAGGAAAAGACGGTATAGCAAAATCATTCCCAGACCTCATGGCCTGAGCTTTTTGGACAAGGCCAAGTCAATGTACGTCAAGCATGAGGCCGAGAAGCTTGTGCAGAAACCAGAGATGACTGGCAGAGAGCACTGGGCAGCCTGCTACCAGGCCCTTCTCATTTGAGCTCATGGAAACAACTTGAAAGGTAAAAGAAAAAGATGCCTGATATACGGCCACCTGGGCTTTCTGAGGCTGAGAATGTGGTTGCATTTAACTATCTAAGGGTCCAAACCCACTTCAGGGAAATAATAATTGAGAAGAAAAATTATATTTTTCTACCCTTGGAGAAGCTGAGAAGTGAAAGGTATCTCTTGGTGGGGGTACTAGCTGTGGTCGGCTGAGTAATGAAGACCCCCTCCACAGCTGTCCACATCCTTATCTTTGAAACCTGTGAATCTGTTGACTTATATGGTAAAAGGGACTTTGTAGAGATGATTACAGTAAGGATCTTGAGATGGGAGATTATCCTGAATCATTCAAGCAGGCCCTTATATGTTACAGAGTAATGCAGGAGGGGCAGATCAGAGACAGAAGGAGATGTGTGGTAGAAACAGAGGCTAGAGAGAAAGGCGGGGTAGATTTGAAGATGCTACGCTGTCGGTTTTGAAGATGGAGGAAGGGGCCATGAACCAAGAAATGCAAGCGGCCTCTGGAATCTAAAAAAGCCAAGGAAGTTAATTCTCCCTGACAGCCTCCAGGACTATAATCAAATGGATTGACATTGTTTTAAGCCACTAAGTTTGTGACAATTTGTTTCAGCAGTAATAGAAAGGTAACACACTATTTCATTTCAAACTATGGTCTTCTTTGCTAAATTTGACCCCTGTAAACCAAGGAAGGGCATTAAAAATAACAAAACCCCAAAACATTACTGAAAACAAGATGTTCAAGATAATTTGTTAATACATAACCACCAGTTTCCTTTAATTCCATAGCTACTGCTATGAGTGACCTGTATCTACTGCCTTCCAATCTGTATTCGCCCTGTATTTCCTTGTTATGAACACACACAACCACACACGGACAGACACACAGATGCACACACTCCACTCAAAATAGGAAAAAGAAAAATTCCATGGTGAATCTGAGACCCACTGTGGCTCCCTACTTCTCAGGAGTGACGTCTCTTACAGGAGCCCCAAGTCTCCCTACAGACCGCCTCCTCCCTTTCCCTGTCTCCCTGTCCCCTAGCCATCAGGGCACGTCCTGATCGTCTCCGAGGCAGCCGTGGTCCAGACCCCAGGCTCCTCTGAGGCCGAGGTCACGAAGGCACAGTGCTGTGAAATACGCACAGCTGGGGCTCATCTGGTGCTCACCAAGGAGCAGCTCTCAGGCTGGTCTCAGGCCCTGTGTGGCATGAGGGTTTGGAACCAAGATGTCGCTCACACAGCTGCAGGGTGGCCTGCACTTGTCTGCTGCTTCGCCCTGGCCGGGGAGAGAAAGCTGGCTGCCTGGCAGGCTAACACTGTTTAGCTCAATTTATGAGCAGGATAATGCCCAGGTGGTATAGATAGGAGAGACTGTGTTAAGGCTTTGAGGCCAGGGGAGGAATACAACATAGTACAAGGGCGATCAGAGCCATCAGCCCCTCCCTGGCAGCGGGCAGGAGCCTGAGCTTGGCGGAGACTGATCTAACCCAAAGATCAGCCATGACAGACCCCTCTGCTATTTCTTTATGGTAACAAAACCTCTGGTAAACTCAGCCAAAGAGTAATGTTAACTGGTTCGAGGCGCCCTGAGGGTAGAACATGTGTTGGATCATCTGAGGGAAGGTTTAAGCAGAAAGCCTGTACCAGCCGGAGACTCTGGAGTTTTGATTACACAGGCACAGCGTGGATGGTCCAAGCGAGTGCACCGCCACTCCGCCTTGTCGCCTCCCCTTCCCCAGAACGTGACTTTGTCTCAGAGAGGTGAAGGGTGGGAACCAGCAGCAAAAACATTCTGCTTTATCTCCGAGGGTTTCCCTGAATTTCAGAGAGACAAGGAGGACTGTTCTCTCTCAAGAGGTGTCTTCTGGGGAGACAGCATTTCCAGCCACCATTCCTTCAACCCAGGCTTTACGCAACATAATCTTAGGCTTGGAAGGAACAGAAACACGTACGTGCTCAGATGTGAAGGCAATGAGCCTGGGGACAGCAGCCATTCCTTTCTCCTTGACTTCCGGGAACATCTTAAAGCGCGCGATCATCATGGCGTACATGTTCGAAATGGCGCCACCTGGAGTGCACAGCACACGGTTACTTTTCCTGTTTACTGTCAACACCATCTCACATGCAAGTCCCTTCCTTATTTCCACTGCCCTAGACTCCCCTCACTGCACACAGCAGGAAACCCTGTTGGCTGTCCTTGGAACTGAGTTCTCCGACTTAAGGACACCTTGTTCCCACCCCACCCCTCTCGGCCACTATGGGGGACTGCAATTGATTCTGCTCTTGCTGGGAACCCTTTGAAGAGGTTTTTAAAAAGAGAAAATTTTGCCTTCCTTCCCAGCTTGTGAGTGTGGTCAGCCCGTATTAGGCCTATAAAATCCTATTTGTATCCTGATGGAGAACACTTATTTCTTTTCATTTCAACTCATGCAATGCCTTGCACTTGGATTAAGAAATCAGCTGCTGTTAACATTGTGGGCTGTTAACCAGAAATTCCTAGAGAATGAAGGACAAACACCCATCTCCATCTCATCATACTCATTCTCTCCACATGGTCCTTCCCTCTCAAGGACATTGTTGAAATAGAAGTGTATCCATTAACAAAACTGATTTCATCATTATAAGGGAAACGCATAACTAAGTCCATACTGACTTATTTTCCCTCTGTCATCCTAAGATTGTCAAGGATTCCACACCATAAATTTATGCCTTATAAGAAGAGTCTCACTTGAAAACACAAGTGTGATTTCCCCAGGGTTGTTGGGAAGCTTGGGATTTTGCTATGCAGGGAAAAGACAGATTGTGACGAATGTGAATGAACATGCTGGCATGGAGGGCATGAGACCATGAGGCAGAGTGAAGGCACCACCTCCCCCTCCCACCCAAAGGGGCTGCCACCATGCAGGTGCTCTGAGTGGCCTTCCCTCCTGGTGGCTAAGGGGCAGAAGGCTCTGTGCCAAGCTGAATGGCCCACGCACGGCTACGACTTTTGCCTCTTGAGTCCTGGGCTCCGACCCAAGCAGGCTGCCTAGCACAAGGCAGTCATCACACCCAGATCCTGGCTCTGTCACCAGTCGGAATGAGGGCCATTCCTACCTTTCTGGATCCCAGAGACACAGGACAAGCAGAATCCAGGTCAAGCCTGCTCTGAGCACACTCCCTGTCTAACAGACTGCGTGTAGGATGCCAGACGTGGGGTCAACTTTTACAGGGACGTCCACTCTAGTTCATAGTCTCTCCGTCTTGCACTTATGATATTTTGAGCCACACAATGCGTTGTGGAGAGGGACGTCCCGGGCATTGTAGGGTGTTGAGCAGCGTCCTTGGCTTCTACCCATCAGGTGCCAGTAGACTCCCAGACAATAAAAAATGTCTACAGATATTGCCAAATGTTCCTTGCAGGGGCAAAATAGCCCCTTTTGAGAACTGAAGTTCTAGTTGTCCTTTTCAAAGAGGCTGGGGAAGGAGGGAAGAGACAAGAGGAAGGGGACAATGTACCCAAAGAAAGTGCTCTTCACATGCAGCTACCCCTGGGGCCGAAAGACCCAGCAGCCCTGAGGGGTGTGAAGGTCTCAGAAGCTTGAAGCCTGCAGATGTTATAGACAGAGGTAGGTGCAAGGCCCATGAACTGGGCTATGCAATCAAGTCACACACCTAATTCTTCATGCTGAGTCCCAGAGAATGAGCCTTTTAGATCACAGGCACATCCGATGTATGATTTTCTCTGTCCCTACCCCTTAAACTGTAAGACAAGCTTTTTACCCCAGGAATGGGGCTGGGTGCCACCTGGAAAAGCATCCATCAGCAAGGAAGGATGCTATGGCCATTTCTCTCCTGTGATGCTTTGTAGAAAGTAGAACAGAAATGGGTTGCCAGTGGCCGTCTCTACTGCCCCCTCTGTGCCTTGCAATGTCTGCATTACCCTGTGGAGTGACATCTGTGGCTTGCACCTTGGGGTAACACATATGGGTCTCTGGGCTCCAGGAGAGCCTCTAATCCTCGTGACAGGGCTTAAGCGTTCTCTACCTGGTCCTTTCTCATCATCACCAAGGGCAGAGGGGAAAGCCCTGAGTCTGTACCTAGCCTAGCAGGACTGCCCAAGAGGATTCTTGCTCAGTGTATGTTTTCTGGGACATGTAGGTCACCAGACCAGCCAGTAAATTAGGCCCAGCCCCGGAGTTTCAGGGTCAACAGGTGCAGCTGTTCTCTGTCCACTCTTGGGGACCATCGAAACAGAGCCCAGCACGATCTCGGTTCACCTCGAGGACAGCTCAGCCCTGCAACCGGCCACATAAGCGGAGGACGAATAAAGGCAGAAATGATGTTGAATTCCGTACCCTACTTCATTCCTCTTGAAAAATACCTGCAAAGCACCAGTTTCAGGTGATGGTGGCAAAGCTCCCTCAACTGAGAAGATTTTCCGAAGGAAAACTAGGTATTAAGTTCCCTACAAAATAAAGGCTGGCTTAAAATTAATCACAGTTGGTATTCAATGACTGTTTTTTTAAAAGGCTACTTTTCTCTCCTATTGAACTAACACTTTTTCCTCTAGCACCTCTGAAAAATTGTGCTTTACGTTTAAAAACATAAAATCACAGACCTGAGCTTGCAGACATGCTTCCCTTAAGCCCTGGCCTTGAGGTCACTGTTGTTCGTTTATCATCTCTTCTTTCTACTTTTTCTTTTCCTTTTTCCCCCTCTCTCATCATCTGCTTGTCCTTGTAGATCTGCTGAAGAGAGCTCACTCGTGGCCTTTGCTTTGCCCAACACTACAGTTAGGTGTGGCTCTGGCCTCTCCAGCGGGTCCCTCTCGGTGGACTGGGGACACCACTTCCTGCCACCGCTGAGGCGATGGGCTGCACACCGGGTCTCTTTGCCATGGGTCAGTGACTCCCTCTTCCCACTGCCTCCCTAGTTTCTATTTCTTCTCTGCATCAAACCAAGGTCACACGTAGAACCGTAAACCAAGGGCATGGCCTTTTGTTTCAGGTTGATTCTCTTGGCTCGAAGAGCTGTAAATAATGGAGCTTAGAATGCAATAGCCAGGCATGAAGGGCAGGATGGAAAAGATTGGGCGGCATGATAAAGGAGAGAAGGGATGGGAAACCTCTTGAAGAAATCATCACTGCTTTTTTAGCTCTAAGAAATTATCTCCCGAGGCACTCTGCCCTCCTTGAAATTAATGTAAATTTGGCTCCCTGCCTGTTATTTCAGAGGATGGAGTGGTACATATGCTCTGTTGAGCAGATCTGCCTTGTTACGTGCCCTCAAACAGCAAATGCTTTAGTAAATGAGTCAACCCTTTTCCTTTCACTAATTCTAGGAGGAGCATTAGAGAGTGAATTCCCTTATTAGGAATCTTTATTGGTTTTTTTGTTGTTGTTGTTGTTGTTGTTTTTTGTTTTTGAGACAGAGTCTCACTCTGTTGCCTGGGCTACAGTGCCGTGGCGTTAGCCTAGCTCACAGCAACCTCAAACTTCTGGGCTCAAGCGATCCTCCTGCCTCAGCCTCCCGAGTAGCTGGGACTACAGGCACGTGCCACCATGCCCGGCTAATTTTTTGCATATATTTTTAGTTGTTCAGCTAACTTCTTTCTATTTTTAGTCGAGATGGGGGTCTCATTCTTGCTCAGGCTGGTCTCGAACTCCTGACCTTGAGTGATCCTCCCACCTCAGCCTCCCAGAGTGCTAGGATTACAGGTGTGAACCACCTCACCCAGCCAGGAATCTTTATTCTTTTGTCCCATATTATCCATACATCCTGCCTGTAGGATCACAGAAGTACTGGGTAAGCACTATCTCTGATTATGCTCTTTTTGAAGACAATAAGTCAAGTTCAAGCATGTCTTAGTTAGCTTGGAGGCATGTCCAATGGTCATGTGCACTTAATCACGTTCATTCTTTTGATGAACATAGTCTATTTAACCTAAGCTGAAATAAGGGTTAGATACTTCATCCTTCCTAGATTCATAACAAGGCATTGCATAGCAGAAGAAAACACACAAAGAAAGGTTGAAATATTAAGTACCAGGAGAAAATATCCCGTCGCCGGAGCCCCCTGGCCAGCCAACGATTTCTCTCATTTTCTTTAGCGTGACATATTCCAAAAGCACAAATACTGGAGCAATTTCGTAGGTGAACCTGAAATGTAGTAATGGCCACATTTTATGTATGTAACTCAAAGAAATAATTTACTATTACAATAGCTACACTTATAACTATTTCCTTTTTTAAACTGCACATTCACAAATGTTATGATTATAACATTAAGCCGAGAGAAAATGATTTCGAAAAGGTCTTCCAAAAGGTTTGCTCATTTTTCTATATTCCTAAAGTCAAGAGCTTCGATCATTGACATAATGCAAATGAATGGTTTAGCATAGTGAATAAATAAAGAACATTGCAGGGTAACATTTAAAAGACAACATCTGGTCCCATTTCTCTTTCACATTATACATAATTATAAACCGAAAATGCCAAAAAAGTCCTTTTTGTGTTTTAAAATTTTTGTATAGTTTGATTGGATGAAAGATATATCAGGACTATTTTCTATTAAGTTCAAGTGAACACTTATATACTTCTTTAGTTTGTATGATTATATTAGGGGCTACTTAAAAATATTTTCACGTAAGAGGTAAAGACTATAGAATCTCACTAATAGTTATCCTGGATTACACAAAAATACATTTAGCTACTTACATGTTAGTGTTTGCTGTTGATGTCAGCCAGTCGGCTGCCAATCCAACCATGTCCAATCCCGTGGAAAGTTGATTGAAATATCTGGGATGCCCTGAATACATGAAAGACCAGAATCAGGGTTGCCTCCAATGAAAAAAAAATACTCTCAGACATATGATTTCTGTAGCTAAAGAACCTTGAAAGATCTTTCAGCAACAGGAAATTCATATTCAGAAAGCCAACAATCACACACATGTGTGAATGCACAAGAACACACACATACACACCACAAAAGCATTTCCTGTAACCACAGAGACACCGTTGGCTTTTGAGAAACACAATCTAAAAACCTTCCTTTAAACATGTCATATAAAAAATTACAAATGTAGTTTGCAAGCTGGACACTAGTTTATTTTCCACATTCTTTCAATATTTTTGAAAACGAAAATGCTCCTGGCAACCCAAAGCAAATCAAAGACAGGTTACTTCTTGTTTGCACTCACGCTGCTAAAAATCCTTTTTTGTTGTAGCCCGTTTGTTGAGAATCAGTCATACCGTGACATCCGCCAGGCATGCCAACATCCATAATAATATCAGTGACAAATGGCTGATGATTACAAAAGACAGGGCAAAAATGAGAAAATAGGACACTCTGCTGAGTGATTTGCCCTGGATTCAAAAGGTGGTTGTCTAATGATGGCGTGGACAAAACTAATTCTTGTCAATTCTTTTCTGTCGAATATTTGATTTTAAACAAAGAGCTTCCTCAGAGTTATAATTTAAAATAAAGCCCAATACAGTCAACATTGCTGTCTTATCAACAAGATACATGAAGCGATATTTAATGGACTGGTCAGCCCATTACCAAGGCTTATCTAATTAACTTCTGGATTTCTCTAAAACTCTCTAAATGGATTGACATCCGCATTCTCCTGAGGCTATTATTTAAAATGTGATTCTAAATATCTCATTAGCATTCTGTTTCCTCCTCTCACCCCACAAAAGCCTACCGGTAAGTCCCAGGATTTGCATAGCAGCAAAAATTGGGGCAGATTAACAATTATGGAAATAGCATCTGATAAAAAGGTATCTGCCACTTACTGGACACCTGTCTGAGGCCTGGGGGTGTGATAGTCTCCTCGCCAGCACTAGCAAAACAAGATAAAGGCAGGCACTGGGGGAAGCAGGGACAAAAGGCAACACAGGCTTATCTCCCAGGCTGGAGAGCTCTCTTATCAGCCGGGGCATGTGGCCAGAGAGGTGGACTGGGAAGAGATAGGTGCTGGGAACGGGGCATTCTAGAGGGATTGGGACGTGTCTCCAGCATGATTTTGTCTCCTCCTGGCCTCCCACGGTGCCCTTCTACCTTTTTGCTCTTATCTAGACCCTCTGAGGCTAACCCCTCAGTCCGCCCATCCAGGAAAGGTGAATAGGCCTTCTTTGCTGCCGCGCTGACGTCTGGGACAACCCTCCCCTCCTCTCTGGCTCATTGACTCCCCATTTCATTACGCAGCCGCTGAAATCACAGCTGAAATCACGCCTTCGTCCCCCCATGTGCCTTCATTTCTCTTTCCCGAAGCCTTTTTTTTCTTAAAGTGAGGATTAGCAAATTAATAAGGATTAGCAAATCTATCCATTCATCTAGTCTCCCAATTCCTAGGAACTTTCTGGATAAATCTGGGGTCCGTTAGCACTCAGTATTTAACACCAAGGAAAGGTCAGCATGGGAACCTCTGCAGAAAACTGAGACTGCAAAGGGACGTGCCGGGCCCTGGACATCAGAAGGCCAGTCCGCCCCGTCCGCTATCAGTGGGACAGGGGAAAGCAGCGGCATGCTTCAGCTGCTGGGTGGCCCTTTCTCTAGACTTGACGTTGACCTTGGTCGGCCATTTCCCTTGCATCCCTCCTGCCTCGAAATTGTCATTCATTCACTCACTTTTCATTCATGATTATGTGAAAGTACGGAGGGAGGCAGTTTGACAGGCAGGACAACAGGCTGTCTTGCTGTCTGGTGGAAATTCCCCCAACTGTAATTACTCTTGTCCTGTGGCCCCCACAGGCTGCCCTCCAGGGCGCCCCAGCAAGTCGGGCAGGGCTCTCTGCGCCAGCGTGTGAGCGCCTGTCAGTCCTGCAGCCCCAGCTCCCCACTGCCCGAGCTGCAGGCGGCCCGAGACGGCAGCACCGGGATGGCCTGCCACGCTGGTGGCCGCACACAGCCTGCGCCAGCCAGGGCGACAGAGCGCTGGAGACCCGAGATTCCTGCCGCGCCCACTCTGCACTGCTCCCCACAGGTCGGCGAGTGAGCCCGGAGGATGCTCAGACTCTGGAACCTCAGGCAACTGGGACTCGGAGCTCACAATCGGTTTCCAGAGGGACAAACATCAATACAAACTTCCCTTTCTGTACTGGCACTGGGGTGGACTCATTCATTTATGCTTCAATTCCCTTTGTCTGATGATTGGGTTAAAGACCCTAGACTACATTAACCCTTCCTGTCTCCCCAGCCACCTTCTCCACCACCAAATCTAAGGACTTCCACAAATGCTAACTGTTCCAGAATTTTGTCATTCCCTGCAGCTTTGTATTCCAATATTTCTTACAGAGGTAATTTTAATAATCCATGAAGACTTCATTTTAAAGTATTTCCTCACTGCCCCTAACTGCTCTCTAAGCTTGGAGCCCAAGTAGAAATCAGGTTAAGGTCTTGCAGTAGAAACCAGGGGATAACATGCATTTTATAAAATAATCTCCCCAGGACTATTACAATATCTAATGGTAGCAGGTTGGTAACTACCTGACACATCCTAAATACTACTGGATGACAAATTTGACAGTTACAGCATAAAAATCCATAAACTTGCCAGTTGAGGAGAGCAGATGACTGCTGTTAATTTTTCGAGATGCTATTTGGGGGGATAAGGGCAGCAGACTAAATATGTTATGAATAACACTGAGATATTGAATTAGTATTGATACACCTTGCTTAGAAATCCAACTCAATCCATCATATTTTTATTGAAATTTTAAATAAAATGCATTAGAGCAATACTTGACTAATAGTTGCACAAGCATTATGGCAAAATCTAAGTATTGAATTGGCCCATCTTTTTCTGATATTAAATGGAACACTGGAAGACAGAACTATTACTTTCAATGACTCACAATTCCCATTATCTTAACTCTTTAAATTGCATTTCAAACACAACTAGCTTTGAAGAGTGAAGATGTAAAACATTTTCATAGATTCTTTTTGGTTTGGCAGCAATAAAAATAATAGGTAGCAATTCACTATTACTTATTTAAATATTAGGCAAGGGGAATGGATCAAAAAAAAGGAATTAAAAGCATTGTTCAGGTTTGCACTGACATACATAAAAAGCTGGGTGGGTACATTTCTTAATGCCTAGTATAGACATCATGTGGGCTCTCACCAACATTAATTGCAGGTGATATCTAATGAGCCTTCAAAAATTATACGCCACAGATCGACTTAGATAGAAATCGACAAGTTAAATTCCTTTCCCTATGTATCTAGTTCTAGTGTCATAAAAGAGTATGCTAATAACATAGTAAATCGAGTTCCCAAGGATTCCTTTCTTCTATGCATACCTTTCCTCTCTGTTGGTATAAAGAATGTGAAAAAAAAAAAGAGCTAAAAGTCCGTTAGAGTAATAGTGATAATTCACCAACAAAAACTGGCAATATAAAAAGATGACATTCCTATGGTAAATAATGTTCATGCTATATTTTACATTTTTTACTTGCTAGCAAGCCTTTTTAAGGCTACTAATCAATTTAGATTCACAAAGTCTCTCCTCTCTGCCCCCAGAAATTCATTCATATTTATTTTTATTGCTTTAATGAAGTGCCATGCTATCGTGCATCAGGATGATTAGAGACCATGTCGAAAGGAAGGGTAATCATGACCTGCAGATGAATAGCCAACTATGTGCAAATAAAATGAAAGCTTGGGGTGCACCCAAGTAAATGTTACACCTGGAGCTATAAAATGGATGGAATATTAAGAATACTGTGAAAAACCAATAGTCAGACCACAAAATAGAAAACATTAGAAAAAATTTACCCCTAAGGATATCTGATTCACTCCTCCCTCCTTCTTTCTTTATCTTACATACACAGTGGCTGTGAAAGACACACATCCTTATATAACATGGCTGAATTGCTAGTCTATGTTGTCTACTTTTGTCTATGTGTGCACATTTCTTTAAAAATAGGAGAAAGTCTGGAATTCAAATCTGTAGTCTTGGCCATTTGAGACAATGCCAAAACATCACCCCTCTGGCTCAATCATTACATAGAATGATTAGCCCAGTTTCTGATCAGTTCTATGCCAAAGAAACTACAAGCACGACACTGGAGTTTGGGCTTTTGTTTGGATCATGCCTTTTGAGCTTTAATTTCCATATTCCTTTTTCTTTCTCCATTTTGGATTGCTTCTAGTGGCCTCTGCTGACAAATGGTTGCTTCTACACCAGTGGTTAAATCTTCACGACCAAATACTTGCAATGCAAAATCTGATGACTTATGCTTGGATACTGTTTCTGATATTATCAACTTCAGAAGTATTAACAATAGCGGAAGGTGCCTTTGATTGGAAGCATTCTAATAATGACTATTTTTTAAGATGATGAAAATAACTGCAAATTTGAAAATACCAGTAACTCCATAAAACCAAACATTTTTATATCAAAAAGTTGTAAAAGAAAAAAAGAGCTTTATTATCTCTGATTGGACAATACCTGTTTTAATTGCATACTTTAGAGTTGTTTGGCAATGCATCAAAATTTCCTCCAAATTTTGTGGTTGATCTGCCAATTCCCAATTATACTCTTGAAGCAGCTCATTAGGATAATGGAAATCAATCACTTTGGTGGATCTATCGAAGCTTTTCACCACATACTGAAGCAAAATGTCCATGACCTCTTGCAGAAACGCCAGCGTGGGCCTTTCCCCGTCACAGGCAGGCAGCAGGTCTGAGGAATTGGATTAAAATGCCACACTTTAATCTACTAGGAAAATATTCAGGCCAGGTCTTGATCAGGCGATTTCCCTTTGAGCTGAGAAACTTCATGTTTACAAAAAATCTTTTGGAAATGCAAACTATTTTCTTTAAAGGAGAGGCATTTTTCAAAGAATGAATGAGAGAAATTACAATTTCTCCTCTCCGAATTAATTCTTGCATTTTAACCTGTAACTTATTGTTTGCTTTCTGTTTTTTTGAAGACAGTGTGCCTATATTTATCTATTTCACCGCATTTAATTATTTTCTAAATGTTATTTCTCAGCAAATCATCTTAAACGATTATGGAAATATTTCCCATCAGAAACGTTTGAGGACCGCTGCGGGCGGACCAGGCGAAACGGGACGTGCAGCCCTAGTGTCTGCGGCGTGTTACGAAGGGCGCTGTCTCCACAACGCGTGTGTGCGTGCATGTGTGTGTGTGTTCGCGTGTGAGTGTGCATGTGAGTGTGCGTGCTTGTGTGTGCATGTGTGTGAGCGCGTGCGCAGGCGTGGGGCAGCGCGTGTGCAAGCGCACGGGGATAGCACCTGGCTCTGGGGCGTCTCCCGTGAGTGGGATCGAGCTCCTGTGAAATGGCAGCTACACATCACAATTGCGACCCGATCTAAAGACCCGAAAGGTCTCTGCCGTCCGGAACTCGCCGGCCCGGCGTCTAGAAACCGGACCCACCCGAGGCCCCAGCGGCCGAGGAAGCGGACACCGAGCCGCAGCGCGCGACGCGTCTGTCGCCGCCACCGCAGGCCCGCGCCGGGGACAGAGCGCCGGGGACAGAGCGCCGGGGACAGAGCGCCGGGGACAGAGCGCCGGGGACAGAGCGCCGGGGACAGAGCGCCGGGGACAGAGCCCCGAGGGCGCAGACGCCTGCCCAGCGCGCGGCCCCGCGTTCCTCGCTGTCATCGGAGCCTGTCGCAGGGCCGCTCCGCCCGCCACCTCGAAGCCTCGCTCTGCTGCCCGCGCCCCGCCCTCCGGCCGCGTCGGGCGCGCTTACCCGTCGCGTGCAGGAACGCGTAGTTGGCGTCCGCCTTGGGGCAGCTGCAGGGCTTCTGGCTGCAGGCGCACGCGGCCTTGCGGGGCGCGGCCCGCGGGGGCCCGTTGCCGCCGCTCTCCGCCGGCCTCTCGGCGTCCCCGTAGAGCAGCGCTGCGCGGGGACAGGGACGCGGGCCTCGGTCAGCCGCCCGCCAGGCCCCGCGCCCGCGCCCGCGCCCGCCCGGTCCCGCGTCCCGCGCGCGGACACTCACCGCACAGCTTGTTTCCGATGCCGCCCGTGAACTTCTGAGCCACCTGGCACCAGGCTCTGGCTGCGAGGAGGCCGGCGCGGACGGCGAGGCGGAAAGAGAGCAGCGACGGACGTGTGAAATGTCGTTCTGTGCGAATGTCCACAGGCCGGGCCAGACGGGGCCGCCTTCCCCCGCGTGGCCGCCGCCCGGCCCTCGCCTCGCGCGCTCGCCCCCGGGAAGCCACGCCGCGCCCTTCGCGCGCCTTCCAGGCGCCTTCGGGCCCGGCCAAGTCCCCTCCTGCCCCGCTGGGGTGAGTTTTCCCAGGCGCGAGGCTTCCGTCCATTCCCCGCAGGCTGTCTCTCTAGACCACCGGTCCTCTCCCCGTCCCCATTTTCCTGTCCCCACCGCCCTCCGCCCTCCCCGCTCCAGGTAGCAGCGCCCGGCCCACGGAACCGCGTCCCAGAGACGCCGCTGTCTTTGCGGGGCTCCCCAGCCGCCCGCCGAAGGGCCGAGACTGCCAGGGGCCGTCCCAGGGGCCGAGGGGCTGCAGAGGGCTTGGGCTCCGGGGCGTCAAGGACTTACCCCGACAGCAGGGCGAAGCGCCCGAAGTTTCCTGCCGCAGGTGGAAAAACCTGCATCTTCCCGGTAGGTAGCCCCGCAAAGCCCAGTCCGCCCGCAAAACTCTAGTGCTGCGGGTCCCCAGTCGCCTACCTGTGCCGGGATTCTCGGGGTCCCCAGAGCCATCTTCAGACCCGAAGGACCAAAAGCCGGAGCCCGGAGATGCCATGGGCGCTGCGAGAGCGGAGCCGGTCGCCGCCGAGTGCGGAGCTGCGGGCGAGCTGTCTCCGCTCGGCCTGCGCGCGCCTGAGTGGCGGGAGGGGCCCGCGCGGCGACGGCGGGTGTCACACGGGGACAGAAAGCGTGCGTGCCAGCGTGTGCGCGTGTGTCGGCGCTGGGGTTTAGGGACGCGGCAGCGGGCTGGAAGCCGCGGAGTTTGAACAGGGAGGGGACAGAGTGCCCTCAGGGCGCGGAGACCGGAGAGCGCGGCGCGCGGGCGAGGCTGTGGGCGAGCGAGCCCGCAGGGCGCGGGGTGCGGGGCGGCGGGGGACGCCGGGAGGGGCGGGAGCTGAGGCGCGCGGCGCGGGGTGGGCAGCGGGGGAGCGGGAGTCGCCGCGCGGGGCGGGGGCGCAGCGGGTCCCGGGGGCAGGAGTGGGGGGCGGGTCCCCGGGGACGGGGGGCGGGACTGCGGGGCGGGGGGCGGGCAGCGCCGGCCTCAGTGCTCCTGGCGCGCTGTCCAGGGTGCTGCGCGCCGGCCTGGGCGAGGGGCGGACGGGTGACCTCGCGAGGCGGGGAGGTGGCCGAGACGACTTTCGCGTCTGCGCTGATTGGTGTATTGTTTGAGGTCTGGCTCGGGCTGCGGGGCGCAGTTCCCGCGCCTCCCGCCTCCCGGCGGGGCTGAGGTCGCTGCGACCTTGAGAGCTCCGGCCGCCAGGCGCGAATCGGGCCCTTTCACGAGGTTGGGGAGGGGACAGTGGGGGAAGGGCGCCCGCCGGCTGGCGGCTGTGGGGAAAGACCGCGGGTTGAGGCAATTAGAGTCCACGCTGGAGTCTGTCACCGAGGACCTCGGGCTGCAGAAAACAAAAAAATACAACGATGGGAACTTCTTGGAAGGGAGTGGGGCAGCGAGGCGAGAGCCCGCAGCAGTGACGGCTGCGGGAGTCGGGTGGGATCTGGTGGCCTTGGCCGGCGGAGGCTGGAGGGGCCCCGCTTACGTGCGGCGGGAACCCGCGTGTGCGTGCGGGGTGCAGGGGTTCCCAGCTAAGCAGCTCGGCTGTCCAAATCTGTAGGAAAGAAGGAATCGCCTGCTGGGCCCTCGTTTTAGGGGCCTCAAACCAGTGACACCCCTAAGAGTCTTCCCGGCGGGGCGGGCGGGGAGCGCGAGGCCCGCATCCCTAAGGCCTGGTGGCCAAGGGTTCCTGCTTTTCTAATAAAAGGCGTGAAGGAACCTTCTGATGACGTCCTCTCTCTAAAGAGCCGTGAGCAGGGTGCCTGGAACTCGCGTGCCTTTCTCCTGGCGGGCGAGAGCAACTCCGAGCACACCGGGCCGCCCCGGGGCTCGCGGCGACAGGCACGGGATGACCCTGGCGGGAAAGAGCCGCGCGCGGGATCCGGAGCGTCTGCGCTGCGCGCGAGCGCGGGTCACTGCGTCGTGTCCGCGGCCCTTCTCCCTCTGGCCTTCGCACCAGTCGCCAAGCTGCCGCCGAAGCAGAGACCCGTGTGGCCTCAGCCCGGCCGCCGCTCCTCCGCCCTCGCTTAGGTGGGCGTCGTGGGGCTCGGGGTGGGCGCGTGGCCAGGTCGTGTCCCCGGGCACAACTGGTCAACTCTCTGCACAAAGCGTTGTCTTCGTCGGCTCCCACGCCCGCGTCCGGGGATCCCGAAGGAGCCGAGAGGCGCACGCCGTGGCGGGACCCGGGCTGCCGGGCGTGGCGGTCGCGAGTCCAGGCCTCGGCTCCGCCCGGTTCCTGGCCCTCCCGGCTCCGACGCTCCAGGTGACGAAGGCGACAACTCCAGGAACGCGAAGGCTGCTCGGTTTGCCATGGGCACGGTGGCAGCTGCGCCGCGCCCGCTCCAGCCGCGCGGAGACTGGCGCTTTGTCTAAATCCACACCGAGTCTGCAAAGGCTTTGCTTCAGTCCCCCGGCTGGGGCTGCAGAACCGTCCTACTATGGACGAGTGCCGAAAGCATAACGGTTCTTAAAAACAAGCCTTTAAAATACACACGGGATCCCCAAGGGAAAAAACGGATTAAAATAAGAGGAAGGTAGAAATTTCAACACCTGAATTTAACAGATTTTTTTTTCTTTTGGTAAAGCAATGACTTCAAATGCTATTGTTTAAACTCCATTAAACCCCGCAGCTCCTGGGTACTTCTGAATCTAATGGTGGTATTTACATTTTTTATTTAAACGCACCCTGCTTGTGATGCAGACGGGATCTGATTTGTCTCCCCTCAACCCAGGCCCTCCCTAGACGGCAATTTGCTTTATAATGACTTTCATTTCGCCAAAGAGCCCTTTCCCCCCTCTGCGGGCCTCTGAGTTGGAGATAACAAAAGAGCTCTGGGAGGTAATAATTACAGTCATTAGTTCTCAAAGGAGGCAGCCGCCGAAGGGGAGGAGGCCGGCTGCGCTGGGGAAAGCGCTCGAAAGCTTTTCCTCGAATCCGGGGGCTAGACCGCAGGGGCGGCTGCCTTGGGGGACCCCTTTCTGGTCGGTGGTTTGCCCAGGGATCCGGCGCAGGCTCGGCCAAGGAAGAGAGGCTGGTGAAGTTTTCCCTGTGTCCTTCAGGGCTTAAATGTGGAAGGACACAGAAAGGAGAGATGGAAAGAAAGAGAAAGTAAATGGAGAGAAAACAGAGAAATACAAAAGAAAAAACCCCAAAACAATAACATTGCAGCCGTTCCCCAAGAGTTTGCCATTCTCTTTTCTAGTCTCACTTTAAAAAAAATAAATAAGTGGGGGAGAGTTTAGGGAGCGTGTCTGTGGCCTCCCCGCCGGGCAGCGGAAGGGCAGGACTGCGGGCTCGGGCCTGCAGGCTCCCGCGGGAGGCCTGGATTGAAGGGAGGGCGGGCGGCCGCGCGAGCTGGGCCCTCCCCCGCCAAGCCTGCTGGAGGGGGCGGACGGTGGGGAGTCCGGGGCTGGGCCACTCGGGTTAGACACTCTTGTCCCCCCACTCCCGTCCCTGCTGCCCTGCTGCGCTTGTTTCGCTGGTGCCAGGGCCAGGCCTGGCCGCGCCGTCGGGCCGCGCAGCCAGCCAGGGCGACTCCTCGCTTTCCGCCCCGGCCCAGAGGCCGCGGCGCTAACCCGGGGAAAGCAAGGCCTAGAGCGCACGGGACCGGGGCTCCGCCCTAGCCCAGCTGGGGGTTCCCCTCCGCCCGATCGCATTTGTAAAATGAAGAGGTGACATGGGTCATCCGTGGCGACCTTTCAGCGCCAACTCCGAGCCGGAGAGGGTGTCACGGCCCTCGGATGAGCGGCGCTGCGAACGCCGAAAGCCCTCGGCGCGCGCCCCCACTCGCCCCTCCAGTCTTTCCCGGAGTCTTCCGGCTCTGGCCCGTGGGTGCAGGAGCTGAGGGCCCCCACGGAAGGGGTCAGCCTGTCCGGGCCAGAACCCTTCTTTCCCGGATTCAGTCATCCATGAGACCACCTAGTCTCCCGTCCTCACCCTCTCTAAGCCGCGTAGACGCGGACAGGATCAGTTCATAGAAGAGTTTAAACCGGTGCAGTCAACTGACGAATGCGAACCTCTACCCACCCTCTAGCCTGCTCCCCCATCTTAAATACACCCAAATTCGGAGCAGCGAAAATTGCCCCAAATCTGCAGGCGAGGAGGACCTAAAATCTGACAGTTCAGCTCAGTGGCGGGGACCAGGGTGTTTACAGGCCCGGCTGGGAAGGCACCGTGCGCGTGCGCAGTGCGCGTCTGGTGTGCCGGGTTGGAGTCTGGAGGCCGCACGCGCGCCGCAGGTGCGAGGTTTTAGCTGGGCTCGTTTGCTGGCGGTGGCTGGGTGGTGGGGTGGTTCGCCGGCGGAGACACAGGGCCTCAGCGCCCCGCCCAGAGCGCGGCCCGGCCCAGCCCTGCCGCAGATCAGCCACGCAAACCTCGGCTTTGCAAGGCGCTTCCTTTATTGCGTAACCGGAATACCCGAGGGCAGGGGAAGCGCAAGCTGGAGATGAAGTTCACCTTCAAAATTCTCCCCTGCCCAACCCGGGCTTTGTGCCCCAAGACCACCCCGCCCGCGAGTGTCCCGTGGGCCTGGGGAAGCCAAGAAAGAAGGCATCTTTGAAGTCACCCAGATTGAGAGGGGCTCAGCGCAGTGGGGTCCACAGAAGGAGTGGCAGACATGTGAACCAAGAGATCCCTTAGGGGACCAAGGACAGGGATGCTCCAGCCCGGGCGAGCGGGAGTGCGGGCTGCGGAGCGCGGAGAGGTGGCGTCAGGAGGGTTCCCGAGGGTCCGGGTTCTCTTCTTTCGGAGCACGCAAGGCTGGCCCTGGCACTCGAGGGGCGGGCGCAGCAGGCAGCCCCTGCGGAGGTCAGGGCCGCGGCTTTGTTGCCGGGTGCCAGCGCCCGAGGGGACCCGCTTGGGCCCCGCACCTTCCGACGGCGGCGGCCGCCGGGGCTGCGCTACAGCTGCTGCAGGAGGCGGCGGCGCTGGGAGGTTTTGCGCAGCAGTCTCCGGTAGTCGTACGGGCTGGCGGCCGGCCCGCTCTCCTCCTCCTCCTCCTCCTCCGGGCTCTCCGCCGCCCAGCACCTGCGAGCGAGACCCGGCCCGAGTGTCAGCCGCGCCACCGCGCAGCGCGGCCCCCACCCCGAGCTAGCAGGGTCCTCTTCCCCACAGGTTCCACCAGCCTCGGCATTTGCGAAAGGCACATAGTGACAGGATAATGGCCAAACGGATCTGCCGGAATTCGCCCAGCCGCGGAGCAGCAGAGGGCTGGTGGCACCCGGCGACTTCGTGTCTGGATGAGTGCTAAGCAAAGCGTCAGAAGGTGCAGTTCAGAGAGCTGAGTTGCATTTGCATTGAAATAACCACTACCAATAAACAAATATTATTTTAGTACCTTAATGTTTGGCACACTTTGGTCAAAAAGGAAAACACAAAGTGCCTAAATAGACACCCACATCTGGCATCTTAAAGCTGCTCAGCTGTTTCTGTAAGAAACGGCCCTCCGAATGTGACCAACTGCTCTGTTAGCAGCACAGGGGGTGTGGCCCTGCTTGCTTTGTCAGTGTTTCCATGTCTTCAGTGAGGCTGCTGCGCCAACAGTTCCAGGCCCATCGCGGGAACCCCTGCCACCATTCGCCTTTAAATTCTGCAGCATGCCTGGGGCAGCGAGGCGCTCCCTAAAATGCAGCTACACACATTCACTCATTCATTTGTAGGTAACTAAGTACCAGCCACCAGTAGAGGCGACAGGTGAGCAAAAGTCCATGTTTTCAGGGAGTTTATTGTCTGCTACAGAGAGGACCACAGACAACTTTAAAACACCAGGTGCTCACAGGTGCTGTGCAGAAAAGCAAGGCAGGGCAGTGGGGAAGGAGTGATGGTGTGTGTGTGTGTGTGTGTGTGTGTGTGTGTGTGTGTGTGTGTACACAAGCTATTTCATAGAGGGTGGTCAGGAAAGGCCTCTCTGATAGGGTGACCTTTGAGGAGACACTTAATGGAAGAGAGTGAGCATGCAGATCTCTTGGGGAAGGGCAGGCATTCCAGGGTGACAGACCAACACGCGTTAAGGTCCCAAGACTAGAGTGTTGAAGGAACAGCAAGGAGGCCACTGTGGCTTGACTGGTGGAAGCGAGGTGGGGAACTGCAAGAGATGACAGCAAGATGACAGCAGATAATTTAGTGCTTTGGGACCGTGGCAAGGACTTGAACTTTACTTTGAGTGAGAGACACATTGAAGGGTTCTGTGTGGAGGAACCGGTGACTCATAAAGTTTCTGGCTGCCAGAGGGGAAGCAGGGAGACCCGTTAGGAGGTACAGTGATAGTCCAAGCAAGACTGAGAGTGACTTAAACTGGGCTTGTGGAGGAGGGGGTGGGAGCCGGCTAGATCTGGCCATACGTGGAAGGTAGAACGGCTCTCTGATGCACTTGGACGTGGGCTGCGAAAGACAGGAGTCAAGAATGCTGCCAAGGTTTTGGGCTTAACCAACTGGAAGGATGGAGTTGCCATTTAGTGAGATGGACAAGGCTGGAGAGGAGCATGGTTTTGGGGGAAGGGATAGGATAAAGATTTCAGTTTTGGTTATGCTAAGTTTGAGATATTTGTTATTCATAGATACGCAAGAGGAGATATTAAGTAGGCAGTTGGATGTCTGAGTCATGATCTAGGCTAGAGATTTCAGTGCAGGAGTTTAAAGCACACAGATGACATTTCAGGCCACGAGGCTTCGTGTTGATGAAGCAAAGGACTCGGACACCATTATGAAATGACGGAGGTTGAGCAAGGGACTGCGAAACAGCAGCCAGTTGGGCAAGAGGAAAACAAAGAAATGACTGTCCTGCAGGCCAGTGAGGAAAGCGTTTAAGGAAAAAATGAGTGGTCATCGGTATTAAATGCTGCTAATGGGAGCGCTGAGGCCTGGGCGTCATAGATCATGGGGCGCAGCAACATGGAGGTGGTCATTGGCCAGTGTCAGGGGAGTGGTGGGAAAGGAAACCTGAGGGAGGTGGCTCACGAGAGAACAGGAACAGAGGACGTGGAGGAGGTAGTATCTTTATTCTTTCATGGGTTATTCATTTGCTATAATGAAGAGCAGAAACATGGGCGGTCTTAAAGGGGGATTGGGTCAAGGGTATTTTATATGATGGGTCTGATCATGTTCACGGATTTCCAGAAATGATTTGGTAAAGAGAACAAACATTCAAGATGCAGGAGAGAGAGGGGACAGTTGCGGGACAATGCTCTTGAGTAGATGGAAGGACTTGGATTTCGTGCACAAAGGGAAGGTTCAGCCTTGGCTAGGAGTGCAGAAAGGCCACCCACAGTATCCTGACGGAAGCACACTGAGAAGGAGGCAGGAGGGTCGGTAGACTTTGCATGTGTCTGTGATCTGTTATTGGGTTAAAAGAAGACTGTCAGCTGAGAGTGAGGAAATTTTGAGGTTTTGAGGAGAGAAGGGAAAGTCTGAAAGAGTGCACTGGGAAAGTGGGATAATGGATTTTCAGGGAAATGTAGTATTGCAAAATAACTCTAAGGGCCTGCCTAAGGTGTGTGGCTACACATTTTAAGTGAGATTAGATTGTGCTTTTCTCTAGCCACGTTCAGCTACGAGGGTGTGCGCAGAGATGGGGTGGGAAGCTGGCTTCACCCAGCACTGGAGCTTGCCAGTTGAATATACATGAGGGAGAAAAAGCCAAGGCCACTGAAGGCATATGCAAATGAATGCAAATAATGATGAAAGGAGAGGAGTAGAACTTGGTCTGTAGATGGAATATGCCTTTGTTCTGGTCCATTCTGAATAGGGAATTAAAAGAAGAAAAAAATCTTTGGCAAGGTCTTTCGGGGCATCTCAAACTCAGTATATGCTTGACAGGAAAGGGTACAAGTGTCATCACAATGGGTACTGATGGAGTAGATCATCGTCTTCTGAGTTACTAGCTTGAATTTTTATACCTGTTCAGCTGATTTATACCTGTTCATCTGTTATATGAACACTAAATATTGGCCTAATGTGGTGGCTCACACCTGTAATCCTAGAATTCTGGGAGGCCAATGCAGGAGGATTGCTTGACGTCAGGAGTTCAAGGCCAGCCTGAGCAGCAATGAGACCCCATCTCTACTAAAAATAGAAAAATTAGCCAGGCATGATGGCACATGCCTGTAGTCCCGGCTAGTTGGGAGGCTGAGGCAGGAGGATCGCTTGAGCCCAGGAGTTTGAGGCTGCTGTGAGCTATGACTGTGGCACTGCACTACTCTATTACTCAGAGTGACAAAGCAAGACTTTGACTCAAAAAAAGAAAAAAAAAAGAACATTAAGTATGAACCACATGCCATGTACATCACACACATTACCTCTGATTCTAAGAATACCACTGCAAGGCCGTAGGTTCCTCTTGTCCTCTAGCTACAGAGGAGGAAGCAGACTGATTCCAGCTGATACAGCCAGTAAGGAGTGGCGTGAGGACTCAAACACAGGTCTGTAGGGCTCATCTTTCATGCTTTCCCCGTGTGTCCTTTTGCCTCTTTTCTGCTGATGCTTCTTTCCTGACTCTCCCATCCCTTAACTGAGGCACTGGTACTCCTTCTAATGCTTTCCTCTTCCACCCTCCATTTATCTTCTTACCACAATTAAAACCAAGCTATGCCCTAAATACCCCACAGCTCTTACTACTGCCCAAGAGAGACCCCACTGGGTCCCATCATAGGAGTGGACAAGGAGATGTCAGCCTCCTGCTTCTCTCTGATGCCGTTCTCTAATCACTGATTACCTGCCTCTAGCTTTTATTCATTTTAACATCCACAAGGACATGCATGCTTGAGGTCAGGTGTTCAAGACCAGCCTAGGTAGAATAGTGAGACCCTGTCTCTACAAAAAATAAAAAAAAAATAGCCAGGCATGGTGGGTGCACCTGTAGTTTCAGGAGATTGAGTTACTCAGTAGGTTGAGACAGGAGGATTGCTTGAGCCCAGGAGTTCAAGGCTGCAGTGAACTATGATTGTGCCAGTGCACTCCAGCATGGGTGACAGAGTGAGACCTTGTCTTTTAAAGAAAAAATAAAAATAAAATAAAATCTGCAAGAACAATAACTATCTGCAAAAGAAATCAAGAAAATAATTCCATTTACAATAGCTATCAAAAAATACTTAGGAATAAATTTAACCAAGGAGGTGAAAGATCTGTACATTGAAAACTATAAAATGTTGATGAAAGAAATTGAAGATGACACAAATAAACAGAAATATATCCTGTATTTGTGGATTGGAGGAATTAATATTATTAAAATGTCTATACTATTGCATTCTATAGGTTAATGCAATCTCCATCAAAATTCCAATGAGATTATTCACAAAAATAAGAAAAAGAATTCTAAAATTTTGTATACAGCCACAAAATACCCCAAATAGCCAAAGCAATCTTGAGAAAAATAAATAAATAAAGAAAGAAAGAAAGAAAGAAAGAAAGAAAGAAAGAAAGAAAGCAAGCAAGCAAGCAAGCAAGCAAGCAAGCAAGCAAGCTGGAGGCATACCAACACCTGATTTCAAATGAAATTACTAAGCTATAGTAATTAAAACAGCATGGTATTAGCATGGTATTAGTCTATTAACACATAGACCAATGGAACAAAATAAAAAGCCCAGAAATAAACTAAGTATTTACAGTCTTTTGATTTTCAATGACGATGTCAAGAACACACAATGGGAAAAGGACAGTCTCTTCAATAAATGGTGCTGAGAAAACTGGATATCCACATGTAGAAGAATAAAATTATACCTTTATGACATGCCATATACAAAATTCACTTAAAATGGATTAAAGACTTAAGACCTGAAACTACAAAAATACTAGAAGAAAATGCAGGGGAAAAGCTCCATGGCTTTGGTCTGGGAAATGATTTTTTGGATATGATGTCAAAAGCACTGGCAACAAAAGCAAAAATATTATGAGTGGGATTACATCAAACTAAAAATCTTCTGCACAGCAAAGGAAACAATCAATAGAGTGAAGAGATTGAAATGGGAGGAAATAATTGCAAACCATATATGTAATAAGGGGTTAATATCCAAAATATATAATGAATGCATACAACTTAGCAAAAAACAAACAAAACAAAAACCAACACCCACAAATAACCCAATTAAAAATGGGCAAAGGACTCAAATAAACATTTCTCAAAAGAAGACACAACAATGGCCAATAGGTATATGAAAAAAAAATGCTCAGCATCACTAATCACAGAATGCAAATTAAAACTGTGATGAGATATCATCTCACACCTGTTAGAATGACTATTAACAAAAAGATGAAAATAAAAAGATGACAAGTGTTGTCAAGGGTGTGGAAAAAAGGGAACCTTTACACAATGTTGGTGAAAATGTAAATTAGTACACCATTATGGAAAATGTATGGAGGCTCCTAAAAAAATTAGAAATAAAACAACCATATGACCCAGCAATCTCACTTCTGGGTATATAGCCAAAGGAAATGAAATCGGCATGTTGAAAACATATCTGCACTCCCATGTTCACTGCAGCACTATTTGCAACAGCCGTGATATGGAATCTGCCCAAGTATATATCAATGGATGAATGGATAAAGCAAAGGTGGTATGTATGCATGATGGAATATTACTCAGCCTTAAAAAAGGAGGAAATCCTGCCATTTGTGACAAAACAAATGAACCTGGAGAACATTAGGCTACGTTAGATCAGTCAGGCACAAAAAGACAAATATTGCGTGATCTCGCTTATATGTGGAATCCAGAAAAAGACAGGCTCATACAACTGAGAGTAGAATGGAGGCTACCAGGGGCTTGTTGTTGTTGGTGGTGTGTGTGGGGGTGTTGGGGAGATGTTAGTCAAAGGATACAAAATATCCTTAAGACAGGAGGAATACATTCAAGAGATCTGTTGTACAACACGGTGACTAGAGTTAATAACGAAGTATATTTGAGAATTGCTAAGAGAGTAGAATTTTTAAGTCTTCTCACCATCAAATATGTTAAGTATGTGAGGCAATTCACATGTTAATTAGTTTGATTAAGCCATTCCACATGTATACATATTTAAATCATGTTCTACTCCATAAATATATATACTTTTTATTTGTCAATTAAAAGAAGTCCGTGAGGCACTCAATTCATCATTGCTGTTGTCCCTGACTCCCAGACTGACTGACTCACACTCCCCTGGGTTCTTGGGATGTTCACAAACACAAAGACACTCCTTGTGCATTCCCATGGTCCAATATAGAGTTTAGTCTCACATTCTCCACTCGTCTCAAAATGTTCTTTAGAGCTGTTTTTTCTGTTTGTTTTTTGTTGTTGTTGTTTTGTTTTCTATTTTAAATCCAGGAAACTATCAACATTCATTAACTGCATTTGGCTGTTTTGTCTCTATAATCTTCCTTAGTTTAGAAAACCCCCTCTTGGAGCTGTGTTCTTCAGCTTTGCTCTATCAATGTCTTTCCCTCTGGTGTCAAGCTCTTTGAAGGTGAGGCCCAGATCTCATGCACCGTCACACCACCCCTTCCTCATGCCGGCACGGTGCTCTGCGTGGGGCGGCAATGCTGTGTAACGGTCAGGTTCACCAACTCTGAACTTAGAAGGCCTGTGTTCAAATTCTGGCTCTATCACTTATCGTCTGGGTGACTCTTTGCATTCACTAAACTTTACAGACTCAGCCTCCTCATCTATAAAATGGGGCAATAACAATAACTGCTTCACGTGGTTGCTACGAGGGTCACGTGAGACAACGACATGGTGCCCAGCACAAAGCAGGCATTCTGCCAGCGCTAGCTGCTAGCATTCTCATTCTAGGGGACACTAAATGCACATCCGCAGACATCACTGAAACACCAGGCAGTATTTCAGGCTTTATAGCACACATGTGTCTGTAGGTGGGCGGAATACATACTGGAGAAGGGGCAGAGTGGCCTGCTAAAATGGGAAGCAGGTGAGGCAGTGCAAAGCAATTGGGCAGGAAGTGAAAAATCTTGGATTTTAGTTCACTAACTTAATGTGCGACCTTGGCCAAGTCACTTAATCTTTCTGGCATTTGGTGTCCTCCTGTACAGAACTCTGTGGTTCATCTCCAAGCTCCAAAACGTTTTAGGTTTTTTGTTTTGTTTTAATAGAGTCTTGCTATGTTGCTCTGGGTAGAGTGCAGTGGTATCATCAAAGCTCACTGGAACCTCAAACTCCTGGGCTCCAGTGATCCTCCTGCCTCAGCCTCCCAAGTAGCTGGGGCTACAGGCATGCGTCACCATGCCCGGATAATTTTTCTATTTTTAGTAGAGACAGGGTGTGATGTTGCTCAGGCTGGTCTTCAACTCCTGAGCTCAAGCAATCCTCCTGCTTCAGCCACCCAGAGTGCTAGGGTTACAGGCGTGAGCCACCACACCCAGTTCTCGACCACAAGATGGAAGAGCACATCATCTTTTGGAGACAAGGGGCAAAAATCATAGTTCAAGTGGATTCTCAAAAGCCAATAAAGGTGGTAATAGCCGCCACCTCTTCTCTGCCACATGTAGTATTACGTATGCTGTCATTTTATCTCCACGACAAAACAGAGAGGCAGTCATTAGTAAATCCTTTAGCAGGAGTGGAGCAAGGCTCAAAGAGGTCGGGTCACTCGAGCAAGGTCACTCAACTACTATGTGGCAGAATCAGGATAAAAATCTAAAACTGTGGGGGATGGTCATGCTGGAGACTCAGACTTGTGGGGGTGGGGGGGAATGGGCATTTATTGAAACCTTAAAATCTGTATCCCCATAATATGCTGAAATAAAAAAAAAATCTAAAACTGCCTGACTCTAAAACCTCTTCTCTTGGCTGCCATGTCACACTGTAAGGGGTCTGAGGGCTCTAGGATGACAGATGTACCCTCAGGATTTTGGGTAAATGGCTTTGCGCTGCCTGCCGCTGCTCCATTTCTCCTGTACTGTGTCTCCATCGTGTTATGTACCTTGGTCTCAAAATTTCACAACTATTTTTTGGAGAAAAAACCAAAATCTCCAAAGTAGTAAATAAGCTACAAAATAAGTAATTAATGTAAAAAAGTCAGTGGCAAGGTGAGATATCAAATCCAAAATATGTATTTTTCCATGAATCTTTCTCCCAAGTATTTTTGGGTCTGACATCACTGATTCTGAGAAATTACCAGCATAATAAAGAAACAAGTGATTAAAATTACATTGGTTAAAACTTGAATGAAGATTTTGGATATGGCATATTGTTTATAATTAGTTTGACAAAATAACTTACCATCCAAACTAAGGCACTTTTTAAAGGAGATACTATTAATAATTATACCAAGACAACAGGTATAAACAGATTTTGCTAGAAAAACTGAGATGCTTGATTCCTCTCCCATAATACTTAATGATTTTACTTGTAAACAACATATCACTTAAAAGATGCAAAAGTCAGTGAGAATGCTTTGTCATTCATCCACACATAAATCAAACTGCTTAAGAAATGGAATTGTGAGTATAAAATTGAAAATGCTGTACTTTAAAGTATAGTTTATTACCTTTCATTAGCCTTAAAACATTGATTCTGGAGTTCTCGCTGAGGTCTTCGTTCTCTTAAACTAGGGTTACGATCCTTTGGTCCAAAACGACTGGGCAAAAATTCCTTATAATAGAAATCTTCCAAATCTAATAATTTTCCCTGACTGTAAATGAACACATAAACACACTATAGCATCAATCTCATTTTCTAATCACTTAAACTTGCAAGATGCTTGCTTTCTTTTTTAAGAGTATTTACTATAATTTAGAAGTAACACATACATGCCAATAAAAACTGGGGAAGTCTCGAAATGTGCAAAAACAGTACATACTCTAAATAAAAAGAAAAACATTCATCTCTTACCCTGAACAGAACATTAGCTGCTGGAGTAGGTTTTCCTGGTTCTGTTGCATGTAACTTGGCACCAAACTAGTAGTTACTAGAATAGCCAGTAATTATGATATTTCATTTTGGCCAGTCTAGATCAGACTTCACTTCTGACTCTTGGGCCATCACCAGAAAATCTGGCTTTTTTGTGCTAACACACAGCATTTTCAAATTTTATCAGCCATCAGGTACATTGATATACACAAGATTTCATGACTTAGCTCCTTCATGGGTAACATTCTGTCCTCCCTCTACCTGTTGGTCTTTATGGGATTAATCTGTGCTAGATTATAATACCTGCCTATGACATGCGCTCAAGGTGTGTCCTCACTCATTTTAATTCTGGAATATGCTTAGCCACAGTCTGGTTCCCGTGGTGCTCAGCATCTGTAGTCTGATGGGACTTCACAGGAGGAAAAGAGGTAGATCTGGAAAGCACCCGGTGTTAACAGTGCTTCTGGGAAAACATGTTTTTCAAGTTACAGATGCCAATTTATAGATGAACTTTCAGAATGGCACCGATTCATAAATTAGAACTGTGTGTTCATTCACACTTAGCAGAACTCTTGTTATTAGCACTGTCTGGAGATTAGTTGACATGGATATTGATCCAAACAGTGGTATAACATTAAAATAGTAAAATATTGGCAGACTGAAATATTATATTAAGAGAAGAAGAAGAATGTGAATCTAAGTGTGCCACACCTGCAGGTGACACCGACCTTATGTTTTTAAAACAAATCCATAAAAATTATAAGAAGCAAGATTTGGCATGGTTTGAAGAACAAAAAGCCAAAAGGAGTTTGGGAAAAGAAAGTTCATGGATATGGGCATGTCCAAATTGCCCAAGTAAAACCATTTAATGGACTAAGAGAAGCAAATTCTACAGTACAGTTCATTCAAAACATATTGGAGTTCTTAGTGTATGTACTGTGCAGGCTCAATATATTTCTAATAGGCAAGAGCTTATAAATTACATACAAACCACATCTTTATAATATGTTTTGAGAGCACATTACTTTCCAAATCTAGCCATATAAGATTAGGTGATTTTTAATCACAATGTGAACATATGGATTTATATTTTTGTTTGAATAAGATGACTTATTGAAATCTAAAAATAATAATTACCTGTCTTTCCTTGGTCTTCGTTTTTCTTCTTGGATTGACTTCTAAAGGGAATAGAAGAATTCAAAAGATCTATATAATATTATGCTCTTAATATAATGTAATTGATATATCACTCTAATCTTAATATGTAAATACATTTATTTCTAAAAAGTTAAGTTAGAAATAAGCAAGTGGATACAATGTTTTAGGTTTAAAGAAACATAATTTGCCCAAATTTTGTTAGTATAAATTTCTAATTATTTTGATCAAAGCTGAACTTAAATGAAAAAAGTGCTTACCACACTGGCCAATATGGACAAGGTTACCTGAGGTCTATTTGCCTACAAATGGGAGCAAATTGTAAAATTTCTGGGAAGCCCATTTCTCTATCACAAGTGCAGCTGTGGTTTAAGCAGGTTAATTAGGCTACTTTGATGTCTTGCTTACACGTCATTCTTGTCTGCAGGCAAAGCAGATGGGTGGATGTGGAGGACAGGTGTGTCAGTCCATAAAAGGAATGGAAATGGGATGTCCTAAACATATAGAAGCCCATTTGTAGCATAAACATAGCAGCGTAGACAATACATACATTTTATTTGCACGATGTTTGCATAGTTGAGAACTTTGCATACCAAGGCACAAATTAAGATATTTAAATATGGAAATAATTAGATATATTTTATTCGATACTTCAGCTTGAACACTAACAAAATGGTAGTACATTTTAGCTTAGAAACAAAGCAATATCATCTTTAGTATTGTAGCATTAAGTAAGGTGTTTCTTTGTGTGCTACCTTGATACATTTGAGCTCATATATTTATATGTTAGGAGAGCATATATGTCTTTTAGGCTGAGAAAACAAATACCACACTTACCTTGAACCTGTTAAAAATATAATTGTACAACCCTACTGCGGATATTGTGTTGGCTGGCACTATAAAGTGCAAGATAATATAATGGCAATTAATAAAGGTTTGTAAATATTGAGGAGCTTCCCCCACTATTTTTAGAGACATGGTAAATCATTTTTTTCCTATGATTTATCATTTGCAATACTCTCAAATGGGGATGAGTTCACAGTTCACAGTGTCTGTTATTCTTACTGGCTTGGATTTTAGCAGGTGGATGAGGTAGAAGTTGGTGCTTCAATTTGGCAAGTCTGGGAGAAGACCAGCCAGGAGAGAAGGATGGAAGGGACAGGGTAACAGTGACACGCCTGTCCTCCTTCCCATTTCCTATTATCTCATATCCTTGATCTAATGTCCTTACATATAATTATGTGACCAACACAGGTACAGTGGCCACTAGCAGTTCAGTTAATGATCCCTGGGGCCAGAGTGGTGTTTGTTGTGGTGGTTGTTGCTGTTTTGATAAGACATTAGTAGTGGTTTCCTACAGAGGTCCTACCTCCCTGATCCATTATCCCTGAAAGCAAGTCCCTTTTATCCTTGGTAACACTGTCTGTAATCCAAAGTCATGCTGAAATGATGGCACTATGTTGAGTGACAGAGATGCCCTTTACAACCAAGAATCAAACAATATCTGCCCTTGAATCTCAAGCTGATGAGAACCCCTTTTTGTACTCGATCAGCACATCCTTCTGGGAGGTGGTGTCTATAAGTTGGTTTTAGCTACGGGAATTTCTAGAAAAGGAAATACTGTCCATGCTTGTTTCACTCTTGCCTGTGCTAGAATATTTTAATGAAATATAATTCAATAATACGTTTTTCCAAAAATTATTTAAAATGGCTCAGAATAGAAGTAGTTCTATGGTCAAAGTAATAAACTAGAAGTTGTAAATGAGGAACAAAGAGGGCAACAGAAACAGGTGTATTAAGATGGGGCCTTATGTTTGTATTTTAGTTTCCTAGCAGCGGGGCTAAAAAGGAACAAAGATACATTAAACCACTTCCCTCATCATGAAATAAAAGCATATCATTCCTCAAGGGGGACAATTTAATACAAATTTTATCACATGGGGCTTTACATTGGGGGCATTTATTGTTAAGATGCACAATATTTTCAATTATAGTTTTGAAATTATAAATTAAAAACTTGAAATGTAAAATGAAAATACAGAAGCTAATGTCCTATGTCAGTTTCCCATAGAACTAGGGTAAAGAAGAGAGAAAGGAAATGAAAATGACTCCATGTGATTTTCTGGTGAGGGTGTTTCTTTCAAAGGGCTTTGAAAGAACAGAGGTCTGAGCTTGGAGGACTTGGAAGAATCTGTTCCTTAATTGGGCACATCACACTCCCCCAACCCCACCTGAGATAAATGCGTTTTATGCCCAAACTTTAAAATTCAGATCCACGACATCATGGTGGACACAATCTTACTGTCCTTTTGGAAATACACTAGTACTTTATTTAGAGAGCTTCATGAGGATGCAGAAGGAGCCAAAACATAGAAATAAAAGACAAGGACTGAAGTGGCCAATCTAGCTATTGCCTTAGATCAGGAAAAGTACCAGAGAGAATAGTAAGACTGGAAGGGACTGTGGATAGGACTGTATTCAGTTACTCATTTTTTGAGGAAACCGCTGGCCCTGTGTCATTTTGCTCATGGCACCACAGGGCCTCCCTGCCCAGCCGGTCACGTTCTGAGGCTTGGCTCGCTCTGATTCTGCACAAAAGCAGCTACATTTCCTAGATACAGGAGATGAAAGGCATCAGATCACAGGACAGAGACGGTGTTGATGCTAATGCAGCCAGATTGAGCAGTGACATACAAGGAGAAACAAAACTTATAAAAATAGGGAAAACAACTGGAAGTGCAGATGTTTGTGTTGGCCAAGGGTGAGGGAAATGATTTTCCACAGCTCAACACTGCTAGTTTGTTATTTAATGAATAGTGCTCTAGTGACTACATTCAGCAGCACGGGGTTCCAAGTAGCTGGCTGTCAACAGTGAGCAAAGACCCTGCCCTCATGGAGCTTTTAGTCTACGGGGGAGTCAGAAGACAAGTAGACAATCTTTATAAATGCTCTGAGGAGAGATGAAGCAGGCCAGGGAGGTACAGAGAGATGGGGGACTGCCTTAGACACCGAGTCAGGAAGCCTCTCTGATATGCATAGAGCTGAATACAGTACAGACAGTTTGAATAGTGCTGCAATAAAACTTAGCAATGATTTATTGTATATTTCAATGTAACTAAGAGAATGAAACTGGAATGCTTCTAACACAAAGAAATGATAAAGGTTTGAGGAGATGGTTATCTCAATTACCCTGATTTGATCATTACACCTTGTGTGCTTATATAAAAATGTCTTATGTACCCCATAAATATGTACATATTTATGTACATATCATGTAGCCATAATAATTAAAAAATATAAGGTACAGACATTTTTTTCTCTCACTACAATGACCTTGGGTCATCAAGAAAAGGTTTACAGTATGCAGTATAATATATTTTTGAAAGATTTTCACGAAAACCATTTAAAATTATAGGAAGTATTTTGGTGGTTCAAGAAAGTGGGTCCATGGCCGGGCGCGGTGGCTCACGCCTGTAATCCTAGCACTCTGGGAGGCCGAGGCGGGCGGATTGCTTGAGGTCAGGAGTTCGAAACCAGCCTGAGCAAGAGCGAGACCTCGTCTCTACTATAAACAGAAAGAAATTAATTGGCCAACTAATATAGAAATTAGCTGGGCATGGTGGCGAATGCCTGTAGTCCCAGCTACTTGGGAGGCTGAGGCAGGAGGATTGCTTGAGCCCAGGAGTTTGAGGTTGCTGTGAGCTAGGCTGACGCCACGGCACTCATTCTAGCCTGGGCAACAAAGCGAGACTCTGTCTCAAAAAAAAAAAAAAAAAAAAAAAAAAAAAAGAAAGTGGGTCCCCATTACAGCTGTAAATTTCATTTATTTGTAACACCCCAAATCCTGGGGATGGTGTTTTCAATTATAGTAATATACTAGTTTTCTGTGTTTTATTTTTCAGTGAAGTCACAGACTTAAAGCATTACAAAAAAGTATCCTAGTCACTAATAACTTAGGATTATTAAAATACTTTACATCCAATTTTAGACAATAGTGCAACGTCAAAGCAAGCTGGTTCTTGGGGGTAGGTGTGCATTTATGAGGCTCAGAATCTACTCCATAATTCTCACATCAGTAATAAACATTTCACCTCATTCAAGACTTACAATTTCTCATACTCAGAATAGTATCTGTTGTTGAAACTGTTACAATCATTTCAGTTGCACTGAATAAAAGTCATTGAGCATAATTTACTACTTAAATTCAGGGTAACTGGGGAATGTTTGATAATTTCTAATTTTGTTCTCTGCTATTCTATTTAACTATATAAACAAGTGTCCGATTAGTTGCTTCTTTGTTTTTTTTTGAGCAGTGTAAAAAATATCAATATCCTTTCTTAATCTGTACTCCTTATAAAGTAACTGTCAAATGTAGGTCTCTGGAACTTTAGACTTTTCCCAATTTACTCTTAAATCGTATTTTGCTCTTTTATTTCATTGCACTCATGCGTATAGCTGCTATGCACCGCATGCCTATTACACTTTGGGCTAAACACAACAGGCAAACTCCTTGACCTCCTGAAGCCACATCAATCCCTCTTTAGCACGATAAAATGTCACACTGCTGAGGGAGGACACAGGCAGAGCTCCCTTGGGATGTGGGAGTGTCAGGAAGGCCTCCTGAAGAAAAAGACACCTAGGCTGAGGGTGTTTGTATCATGAATGAGAAGAGGAAAAGGAAGTGTGTTCAAGGTTGATGAAAGAGCATGTCCAAGGACAAATGTCAATGACATTTTGAAAAAGGGAAAATTAAGAGACAGAAGGACTGCAGGGGGGAGTTTGAAGGGATGAATGCATATCAGGGACTGAGGCTGGAAAGGTAAGCCTTGGGCAGATTCCCACAGGACTTTCTTTGTATCTTAGGGCAGTGGGAAGCAGCTGGAAAGTTTTCTGTTGATGGTGGGGGGCGGGAGGGGCAGTAGCATGATTGGATGATAATTTTAGAAACACAACTCTGGCTTCAGTGTGGGAGATGTGCTAGTTAGAGGAGGTGGAAACAAGAGACCAAGAGTTGAGTATGAGG